CTGCAGCAGGGGCAGCCTGCGCCAGCCCCAGGGGCTCTGTGGGGATTGGGGGGTGTTGGTGCGGGGATTGGGGGGTGCTGGTGTGGGGATCGAGGGGTGCTGGCGTGCGGCTCGTCCCCGGCACTCATCAGCCTCGGTGTAATGAAATCCAGACCGTCCCTTGAGGACCATCGATCGGGGTGTGTAACCTGAGCGCGGCACTAAGTGCTTTTAAGGTACCCGAGGGCTGTGCCGAGGCCGATGGATGAGGAGGGTGCCGAGCAGGGCATGATTCAGCTTTGGGCTGCGCCGGGTGCCGCTGCCAGGCTCCTCTGTTGGTCTGCGGAGCGTTACGGAGCGGCGGGGCCGAGATATTTGGGGCTAATAGCTGAGATATTGGGCTAATAGGTGGTAGCCCCAAGGTTGCCTTTTGTGCCTGATGTTTTTTGTAGGCTTTGAGTCTACCCAAATGTGTGTTTGTGCAGCACAGGGAGTGCAATGGGACACTGCGGGACCCCAGCCATAGGGTCTGGGTGTGCGGCTTCACTGCCAAATATTTCAGGAGCTCTCAGCTGAAGCTCTGAGAGCTCCCAGCGTGGCTCCAACCGGGGGACACGGTTTCGGGGGTGATTGCTGCAGGGCAGGGGGTCCCCCATGGATGGGGTCCCCGGGAGCTGAGGCTCCCCGCACGGCGTGGCCGAGCCCCGTGGAGCAGAACGGGGCGAGCGGGGGGCTGGCGGGCAGGGGGCCCGGGCACTGCTGGGTGCCGGCAGCCGGGCTCCGGTCCTGCCGGAGGGAGCGGGGCTGCGGCCTGAGCTCGGTCCCGTTATCCGAGGGGGTCCCGAGGGGCCGGTTAAGGCGGGGGGGCACGGCTCGGTGCCCACCCGCAGTGCTGCCCTGCCCCGGTCGAGGCCTCGGGTGCCTCGGGGCCCCCAGCCCGGCTCCCCCCGGTGCCGCCCGCAGCGCCCCGCGTCCCCTTCTGGGCCTGCGGCTCCGGTTACCGGGTGGTGCCGGCCGGGGAGCCGGGCACCGGGGGGGCACCGGAGGGGAACCGGGGGGGCACGGGGAACAGCCGCCGGTGCCCGGTGCCTGCCCGGAGGAGCCCGGAGCGGCGGCGGTGCCCGGGACCGGCGGCGGGGGGGTGCGGGGGGGGACGGCCCCGCCCGCAGCTCCCGGTCGGGGGCGGGGCCCGGTGGCGGCGGCGATGACGTCAGGGGGCGGGGCCGGGGCGGGGCGCGCGGCCATTTGCAGGCACCGGCGGGGGGGCGCCGCCGGCAGCTCCGGGCGGCTCCGGGCGGCTCCGCTCCCCCCGCTCCGCTCCGCTCCGCTCCCCTTCCCCGGCTCCTCTCTCTCCTCTGTCCGCTCCTGTCCTGTCCTCCCGCCCCGTTCCGTTCCGTTCCGCAATGATGAGGCAGGCCCCGGCCGCACGGAAGGTACAGCCGCTCTCGTGCCTCCCCCCGGTACCGGCGTCGGGGCCCGCTGCGGGCGGGGGGGGCGCGGGGCGAGGCGGCGGCACCGGGCTCACGGCCTCATCCCCCCCCCACCCCTCCCCTCCCCTCCTCCCGGTGCTGCATCCCGGCCCGACCCGACCCCACCGGGAGCTCCGCGCCCCGCTCCGTGCCCGCGGGGACGGCCCCGGGCAGCACCGGGAGCCACGGAGCGAAGGCGGTGGCCGTACCGTGCTGTGCTGTACCGTGCCGTGCCGGGCACTGCGGTCTCACCGCCGTACAGCCGGGGTCCGGCTCTCCCGGTGCCCCCCCAGCGGTGCCCGGTGCCTCCCGGTGCCCGTACAGCTCCCGCCGAGGCTCCGGGTGTCCCCGCGGCAGGGCTCAGCCCCTCTCCCCCGGCCTCTCCCCCAGCTTCGGGAGGTGTCGCTTTGCTTCGCTTCGGTCTCGGTTTTCCTCCTGCTTTGCCTTGGGTGCCGCAGGCATTCGGTGCTCGAGGCGTTGCCGGCTGCTCCCGTGTGCTGAAATCCCGAGCAGAACGCCCCCGGCAGCACCGGGACCCCGGGGCGAGCCACCGGGATGGAGCTCGGCGATGGGGCAGCACCAACAGGTGGGATCTGACCCAGCGCTCCCAGGAAGGGCTCGGATCCTCCATCACCGGGTGATCACCGGGAAGGGAGCGCTGCCAGCAGCAGGAGCCATGCACTGACCTCGGCTGCCAGAAGCCTCCCAGGGACAACGTGGGAGATGTCTGCAGCAGGGCCTGTGGTGTGGGGAGAGCTCTGCTCCGCTGTGCCTTGACCCCGTGAGCTGCATCCAGCAGAAGACCTCGGCGAGGTGGTACCCGGAGCGAGGAGATGACACCGGCGTGCTCATCCCGAGGGCAGAGCTGCACCACGCTCGGGGTGGTGCCAGCACTCGGTGCCCTTGGCTGGTTCTGGGCTGTGACTTTCATGCTCCGAGTGGAACCGACTGGGCAGCACCCCGGGACCTGCCATCTGCAGCCTCGCAGCACCCGTGGGTGACACCGGCTGCTGCTGGGGGCAGCTGGAGGTGGCCAGGAGTTTTGCAGGGCTGGATGCGGGGTTTGTATATGAGTGAGTCTGCTTCGAGCCCCGGCTGCTGCTCTTGCTCCTGAGCGTGGGGCTGCCCGGGGATCGAAGGCTGTGTGATAGCATCATCGAGTGTTTATGCAGCAACATTACGCAGCAGAGTTCAGAACCACCAAATAAAATATTAATGGCCACAGCGGGCCGGTGCGGAGCGTCCTGGGATCCAGGAGGACACAAAGCATCTGCGTTAAGCAACGTCGTGGGGAGCCGGTTCTGGAGCCTGGCAGAAGCTCGAGGGCCTGAGCCCCGCTCCCGAGCAGGGTTCCTCGATGATCCCGCGGTGGGAAGCGCTCCATCGGGGGAGCGGTGCTGCCTCCCTCCATCTCGGATGCGCTTTGGGGAGCGGGAGGTGAGAGCTGGAACCTACCTGATCCTAATGGCTGGGAAGGAGGAGCCAGCAGCCCAGCCCAGGCACCGCTCTGCAAGCTGCTTACAAGTGCTTTGGAGACCACAGATGGTGAATTGCTGCCTGAAAGCTGACCCCAGCTGCTCCCCGAGGAGGCACGAGGGTCTTGCTTTTATTCCAAGTGCCCTTCGTGCTCAGCCCCAGGGGCTCCACAGCGCCTTCGGCCCCCTCCAGCAGGGAGCACTTCTGCCTTTGCAGTGGTGGTTCGGAGGAGTGGGGAATGCTGCGGACAGGCAGGTGGTGGGGACAGCGACACAGCAGGACCCCGGCCGCCCTCCTGAGCAGCAGACCTCCTCTGACCTCCCCTCAACAAGGGGTGCTTGCCTGGCACACCCCAGATCTTCAGCTCCTGATAGCAGCATGGCATTACGTGATCTGGAGCCAGACGACTTCTGCGCTATGCTAGACTCTGCTGGGAGAGGAGGCACCAGACCAGGGTTGCTCTCTGTGTAACGTGGCCATCACCAGGAGGTCTCTCCCGTTCTTCAGCATTTGCAGTGGGGAAGATGCTCTGCCTCTGCCCGCCCCCATGGACCAGGAGCCGCCAGGCGAGGGCTGAGCGATGGGAACAGGATCAGCGGTCACTGTGCGGTGTTCCTGCTGGCATTGCAGGGTTCGGGGGAGCTTTCAGGTCTCTGTGAGGATTGCTGGTGTCATGCCAAGTAATCCTCGGTTAGCAGGGCTTCCCAAAGAAGCCCTACTTTAGGAAAAGCTGGTGCTCCTAAATCAGCAGTGGTGTTTGTCAGAGTTTTAAGCTTTTGCTGGTTTTGTTACATTTTTCCAGATAGTTTTGCAAATGGGAATATGATCTGGGAGATGTGCATCTTCCCCTCTGTGCTGGTGGGGGCCTGCTGTAGTGCAGCCTTGTAGAGAACGCTGGCAGTGAGCAGGGCAGGGTTTAGCCTAAGCAGTCCAATTGTCGGTTCGCTATTTTGAAGCACCAATCTGCCCAGTTCTGATCTATATACAAATAGAAAAGTGGCTGCAGGATCTCCTGGGTGGCGTTTCCAGGCCCCCTGCTGCTGGCCAGGCGTTGCAGTGGGTGCGGGTGCCTGGTTTTGGTGGCTTCAGCGTCCCACCGTGAGCGGGGCCGTCCAGCTCTCCCCTGCTGCTGCAGTGTTTGGTAATGGGACAATCCTGCTGATGTGTGACCCTGCGAGGTGTGCTGAGACATCTCCGTGCAGGCTGTGGCTGTCCTGCCGTGCTGCGTGCCAAACAGTGCGTGTTGGGGGCAGGGGGTCCTGCCCTGCACATTCCGGAGCCGTTTGTTTCCAGAAAGGAGAAGAAAATCTGGAGTGTTTGAGAAGAAGCTTCACCAGATGTTATGCCTGCAAATCTTACAACTAAAGCAGAGCCCGGGGGCTCTGGCACCTCTGTGGGCAGCTGGCGTGGTGATGCTCTAGGTCCTTTGGAAACAAAGGGTGGGAGGGAAGAAATTTTGTCTCTTTCTTTTAATAAAAAGTCAATCTCAGTTTCATGACCTGTCTAGGAAAGACGTGCTGAGCGAGATCCCCTGGTTGGCAGCAGAACGCCGGCGAGCCCTGAGCAGTGCTGCAGGAACGGGGCCGTTTCCAGGCTGACCTCAGGCAGCCCAGGTTTTGCCCGCGAAGCCGAAGCTCTTTTCGGAAGCAAGTGGAGCCTCTGCACCCAGGGCACCTGCTGGAGTCCTGGGGCTGGCTCCTGCGGGGATCCGCGGGTTTCGGGCTGCAGGCAGCCCTGTGGTCCCACACCGATGCTACGGGGGGAGAAACCGGGACGGGGCACGGCGAATTCCGGGCGGTCTGGGCCAGAAAACCTGAGCGGGAGGCTGGGCTGCTGCCGGGCTCTGTCTCCTTGGGGGCTCTGCTTGCAGGGTTTCACCTGGAGCTGTGCTGGGAGCGCGGGTTAATGAGCACCGACACCTGATGCCACGCACACTAATTGCAGTGATGTCTTTTGTTTCCTTTACCTGTTCTCTGCTGCATCTGCTGCTGTGCTGCTGCCGTCTGTCTCTCTGCTCCTGTCTTTCCCTGTATGAATGTCTCTCCTCCTCTGCCTTCTGCTCCTGTTGCCCTCCAGACCACCGCCCGGCGGCCCAAGGTGAGAACCAGCAGCTGCGCTCGGGGGGCTCAGCACCCCCGGATTTGTAAATATGAACTCGTTGAGTGCTGACCCCAAAGCGCGTTTGTTTGCTGTTGTCCTTTGTGCAGAACCTGAAGGAGCTCACAAAACTGTGCTCCTCTAGGGTGGGTCTGAATCATGGCACAGCCTTCTGGGGCAAACTGTACTGAGAAGCTTGGTGCTCTCAGCCAGAGCTCACCCAGCAGCGGAGCTTACAGGCAGCGAACTAACACCAAGCCTGGCTGGCAGAGCACGCTGCTTGGTGGCCCTCTCAATGTCCTTAATTGCTGCTCACTGACTGTTGCTAGCTCGTGCAGGAGACTTTCCAGCAGCATCTTGAGTTTATCAGCGGGAGGAGAGAGGTAAGAGGTAGCTGCTAGGGCTGCACTGGTTCCAGCACAGTCACTCGTGTCGAGGTCTGCCCCAGCAAGCAGGACCAGCAGAGGAGCACAGCACACGATAGATGAGAACAAACAAGGGAGATAAAACCTCAAAGCACTCTCCAGTAGCCAAGTTATGGTTTGTAAATGATTGTATCTCTTCTGTGGAGGGTGCTCTGCGGGGAGGGCTTGGTTTTCACTGGCATATACAAGAAACACAAAGCAGGGCAGCAGCTGATCCGTGGGCATTTACCTCATGGGTAAAAAAAAAAAAAAGTGAGAGCAGTGTATGAGCAGTCTGCAAGGGTAAAACCTGTGGGTCAAAATTCCCTCTAAAGTGCCTAGAAGTGTAAAACCCCACGTGCCTCAGACAGGGCAGGGGTTTTGCTGCAGGCCTGTGCATTTGCAGCGAGCCCCTCTCGAGCATCGCACCCGGTTGTGGTCGGGCTCACAGCCACAGCAGATGGGGTCAGCAGGCAGCTCTCGCCCTGGGACACTGGTTTCAGTGGGAGCCACTGGTGAGGGTTGTGCCGTAGCTGTGCTCAGGGCTCTAGGGGTGCCAGGGCACACTTCCATTTGGTCCTGGCACCTTGTTGGGCCCTAGCCACCAGGCTGTCAGCGGGCTCTGCACCACTAAGCCACACCAGGAGTGTCCCCGGGCCATGTTTCTCCCTGCCCACAGAAGCTTAAAGCTCGCTCTGTGAAGTGGTTTTAATCCCCAGAGCAGCACCTCTGAACTTCCTTGTTCTGAGCGTGACGTTTCTTGGGGATCCCGTGGGTGGCTTGGCACCATGGGGTCTGCTCCTGGGGCTGTGCTCAGCAGGGAGGGCTGAGCCCGCCTGTCCGTGGGGTGTTCATCAGCTGCAGCAGGGCTGGCTTGGCCAAAATGAGCGAGGAGTCTGCAGAAGACCCGGCTGCAGCGGGGCAGGTGATTGCCCTGTTTCCAGTGCTGCTTTGGCAGGCGGGAGCAGCGGTGCCCGTGCCGTGCCCGTCTCAGTGCCCGTGCACACCCAGCCTGGTGAGCTGTGTGCCTTGGGAGACTGCAGTGCACCAAAAAGCCAAGATTGAGGAGTAAAACAGTCAGGAGGTTAATTTACACGGTGTTAGTGCCATGGAGATGAGTGCTTCAGCAGTGCAGGGCTGTGAGGGGCTGATCGGGTGCACCCCAACCCCGGGTCACGCAGCCAGCCTCGCTGCCGGCTTCCCAGCCTGCGGCCAGCAGCCCCGTAAGCACCGCTGGAGCGGCTCCGCTGCGCTGCTTCTTCAGGTTCCTCTGATTTCCCCTGGGCTCTGGTGAACCCTTGCCACTCTTCATTTTGTCCTCCTGTTGCCCTAGGATCCGCGCTGTGTGCCCACAGCCCCGTTGCAAGCAGAGGATGCAGACTGGGGACCCTGCTGTGGTGTCCCCGTGGCACTGCCGGCGGCATCTCCGTGCCCGAGCTGGGCGCACCGCGAGCCCCTTCCCCTGGCAGCCCAGTTCCCACAGCCCTCTGCATGGGGAGCAGGGGGGTGGGAGCTGCCTGGCCCCTGGTTCTGCACACTTTGGGGTTTTGCTGTCTCATCCTCCGCAGCTGGAACCCCGAAAGCCCTGGGCACGTGTCCCGCCTGCGGGCAGTGCCGAGGGCCCCCCTCAGCCCCTCTGCTGACCGCTCTGCACGCTCACCTGATGGGTGTAGGTGGTGCCTGCAGCTGGGCTTGGTGTGAGGAATTCAGTGCCCAGCCTGACTGCAGCAGCAGGGTGGATGTGGCAGCACAAGGGAACAGTTTGTAGGGCAGCCTCGTACTGTCCCCGTCACCACGGGAGGGAGCAGAGGGACTGCTGCGTCCAACCCATAGCAGGGCTTGTGTGCGCAGACAAAAATCTGTGGTTTTGTTTGTTTTTTAGCTATGGCAGTGGTGTAATAACCTTTTACCTTCCCTTCAGCAACCGAGTATCTATGAATTTTGCTCAAGCCAGGCTCTGTAGCATAAAACCCACAGAATTTATTGCTGGGAAATCTCCGGAGTGCTGTTCATCCTCAGCACGCTGCAGGTCTCAGTAAAACCAGGTCATGGCTGTGCTCAGCGTAGCCAGAGGCACTTTGCTGTCACCGTCCCCCTGTCACCGTGCCCTGCAGAGCCCCTTCTGCCATCCGGGCGAGCTGTGCCCGACCTCAGCCCTCTCCCAGGGCATCCCCCCTGCCTGGGTGGGACTGCAGTGCCCGAACTCCTGCTCCCTCCCTATCGCAGCCGGTAAGTATTCACACTGTGAGAGCCTGAAGCACCTCTGAAGTTTTATTCTGGGTTTCCTCTGTGCTGGAAGGGGTCTCAAGGACAGCGGTGGCGATGGGCCAACGCAGTGGTGAGAGGAAGGCAGGACTGAACGAGGTGTGAGGGGGGCAGAGTGGCCGTGGAAGCCCCTCTCCCCCAGGACACGCTCCTCTGATGCTCCCCTCTGCCCGCGTTGTCTTGCAGCCCACCCGGACCCCCAGTTCTGCGGCGTCCAGCGGCACGGCCGGGCCCTCGGGCTCAGCCTCTGCCTCTGGCGGGGAGATGAGCAGCAGCGAGCCCAGCACGCCCGCCCAGACACCGCTGGTGGCCCCCGTCATCCCGTCTCCTTCCCTCACCTCGCCGGTGGCACCGATGGTTCCCTCGCCCACCAAGGTAAGGCGCAGCGGCTGCGGTCGGTGCGGAGAGGAGAAGGGAAATCTCCCCGGCACTGTTAGGAGGGAAGGGGCTGGTGGTGGTCCCTGCACAGGGCTCGTGTGCCCACCCCATGGGGACCTGCCAGGCTTCGTCCCGCAGGCAGCCGGGGCCTGTGGGGGGAGCGGGGCTGGCTGGGGGGATGTGGAGGCTGCTGGTCCAGACATGGGAAGGTGCTGGAGAAATAAAGGGTGCCACAGCCTCACTCAGCTCCTGGTGCGTTCTCCCTTCCTGGGTCCCCGTGGGACACACGTGGCATCAGACCAACCCCAGGGAACGTGCCGATGGGCTGAGGCAGTGCAGGGGGTGTCCCCGAGGGGTCCGCACAGGGCTGGGACACGGCCCCCGTCCTCCTGCTGCCACCAGCAGCCCGCAGCGGGCAGGCCAGTGGGCGGTGCGCCCCGGGTCACTGCTGCCTGCGGGGGCACAGACCCCGGGGAGGACCCCTCTGTCCCTGGCGTGGGTCTTTCTAACAGTTACATCTGCGCAGTCATTCCATTTTTGTTCTTTAAAATAGTTTTTAATTACTTCCGTCCCGCTTTGTATTAATTAGTTAAAATGAGAGCTCGTGAAAGATTTAGGGCAGAAGGGTGAGGAATTAATAGCGTGAGAGGACAGAGAGCCTGCTCCGAGGCTGTGTGTCAGGGAGACGGCTGGAGGAGTCACATCGGGTGGGGAGGAAGGAAAGGATTTTGCCATTCCCTGAGCCCTGCCTGGCCCGGAGGGTTTTGGTACCAGGCTTATGGAAACTCACCAAAAGCTGTTTGCGTGGTAGCGCTGGTGGCAGCAGCACATCCAGGGCTGAGAAAGCAGCAGAGAAGCCTGGTCTTCCTGTGCTGTTTGACGTGGGATTTTTTCAAGGCCCGTTCCTTAATGTCACCCAGCTTTGTGACCCCTCAGCACCAGCCACGGGGCTGCTTTCAGCCTGGGGTCCTGCCGGGAGAGGAGGGGGCTGCGTCCCCTCCTGCTGCCCTTGCTCACAGCCAGGTACCGCGTGCTGGTGCCAGCATTTACCTGCACTGGGAGCTGCCCTGGCAGGTACAGGATGAGGTCTCCCTGCTGTGGGGTCGAGTGGGCAGCGGTGGGGAGCCCGGGACGTCCCCGGTGGTGGCAGGGCACAGGGTGGTGGCACGGGGTGAGGTGCCAGCGATGAGCAGCAGCCGAGGAAATCCTGGTGGGTACGGGGAAGGGTGCTCAGGGTGAGGGTGCTCGGGCACTGGGATGGGTCTGGGGTGGCCGTGGGGACAGCCAGCCCCGAGCAGCCTGACCGGGGGGCTCCACTCATCTCCTCGGGGACAGCCCGGCTAACTCAGGCCTTTCTCTGTCCCCAGAGCACCTCGGCACCACGCGTGGGCCCCGAAGGCCAGGTGACCGCAGCCCCACGGCTCTGGTTTGCTGAGCCTGCATGTGGGAGCCGTGTAACGGGGGGGGCCCTGCCTAGACCTAACAGGCTCTGCAGCAAAACCTCCCGCGTGGCTGAACACCGTCCTGGCTTGGTGCTGAGTGATGTTTTCCCTCCCTGTAGGCAGCTCCCCTGGTGACAACCCGGCTGTGCTGGAAGCTCGGCGCTAACCCTGATGCTTTTTAGGGCAGTCACTGCCTTCCCCCGAGAACAGGAGCCTTGTCCAGGGAGATGCTGTAGCCGGGTGGGATGCGGCCCCCGAGGGGGCAGCTTTTGAGTCTTGTTGGAGACCTCGGGGCTGGGCCCTTCCCCATGCACCAGCCTTATTTTCAGCCCCTTTGGTCACAAAGCGACGCTGCGGGCTCCGGCTGTGTCCCTGTGCAGCCCTTCCCAGCCCAGCATCGACCAGGATCAGGCAGCACCTCCCCAGGCCCTGTCTTTTACTCAAGGCAAAGCCGGTTTTGTGATGTCCCAAATCCCCTGGGACAGGAGTGGATTCAGGCTGGGAGCTGGGGGACCCCTGGGGGACCCCGGCTGCCACACGAGCTGCGCTGGGGCTCGCAGCACAGCCAGCTTTGGGCTGTGATGCCTCCAGGCAGCAGCGCTCCCGGCTTTAGGCTCGTGCCAGGCTCACCCCTGTAGCCTCGGTGGCCAAGACCCCCTTTTTTAGAGGCCAGCCTCAGCCTGCAGGCTGGGTGCTGTGGGAGGCAGAGGGGAGCAGCTCCCACGGAGCACAGCAGGCGCGTGGCATGAGCACGGTTTGCGGTGTGCCCGCCGGTGCCTGCGCTTGGGGGGCACGCTACCAGCTGGGCGCACGGGCTGCTCGGTAACCTTTCGGTCAGATCTGCTCCGGGGGTGTTTGCTGCGTGCCATAACGCTGCTGCGGCCCTAGGGGGAGGAGGAGAGCTACCTATTTGGGATGGATTTTATTTTATTTGGGTGGATTTGGGCGGGTTACTGCCTCGGGGGTTGTTTATTAATTTTTGTTATAAGATTCGGGCATCCTTGGTTCCCTGCGAGGGCAGTGGCGAGGTGCTCAGCATCACGGGCGAGCCAGCCTCTGTCAGCAGCAAGGAGCACTGATCACAACAAGGAGCACTGATCACAACGAGGTCTTGTAGAAAGGATCAGCAGGTTTTACGGATTCACTCCAGCTGCAAGTGCGCAGTGATGCGCTCTGCTGGCAGTGCCCTGGCCGCGATGCCAAGTTACAGGCGGGTGCCTGGGCCAGGTGCTGAGGTTTGCTCCCTGCGGGGTAAATCAACACCTTTGGAGGTCTCTCCAAAGAACGCTCCTGTTCCCTTTGGTAATTCTTTGTTTGACTTTGTAGGAGGAGGAAAATTTGCGTTCTCAAGTCAGGGACCTGGAGGAAAAATTGGAGACTCTGAAGATAAAGCGGAATGAAGACAAAGCAAAGCTTAAAGAGCTCGAGAAGTACAAGATCCAGCTGGAGCAGGTGCAGGAATGGAAGAGCAAAATGCAAGAGCAACAGGCTGATCTCCAGAAACGGTTAAAGGAGGCCAAAAAGGTGGGCAGCCCCGGGGAGCTGGGGCTGGCGCAGTGGGGAATGATCCCAGGGCCAATTCAATTGCTGAGAATGATTTGTTTGTTTTGGGTGGGAGTTGTGTGCTTTGTTCTGTGTTGTTTTTTTTTAATATCCCAGCGTTAAACCGTGGCCTGTCCTGGCTCTTGGCCTTCTGAATACGTGCAGGGTTGTGAAGTGGCCTCTGACCTCACCTATCGCTGTTCTCTCCATCGTAAATATTGGTTTAGGTATTGAGCTGCCCGTGCAAACGCCGAGCACAGGCTGCACGGCGCCGCGTGGGTGCCGGCTGCCTCTGGCAGTGCGTGCAGCCTGGCCTGGAGCTGGAGCCGTGGCTTCCTCCTTTCCCCACGCTAGCTGTGAGAGCACACAGCCCTTGGGCAGACCCTGCACAGGCCTGTCAAGGTATCAGATTTTGTGCCCCCCGGGGATTGCTTTGCTTTCTGCCGCCTGCCGGACCCCTCTGTCAGACAGCTCGAGGCAGGAGTGTCTGCGCTATCCACAGATGGATTCCTGTCAGCCTTGTGCAGGGTAAGACGAGGCAGAGTCAGGGGCGGTTTCCTTTAGTAGCTGGGAATGGAGAGCGGTGGCTGAGGAGCAGGTCGTGCACCTCACCCTGCAGGGGAGGGGTCCCCGTGGGGCAGCAGCCGCCTTTCTCCGGTTTAATCTGCTGCTGCAGCCCTGCCAGAGCTGTGGGAACGGCACCGTTAAGATCCCAGACCTGCTGATAAGCTGCTGTTCTCCTCCAAGGTCTGAGGGAGAGTTCCTGGAGATCTTGGAGCTCCTACAGCAGGAGCAGACCCACGGGTAGCAGCACAGGACCTGCTCATCTCCCCAGTGCTGGCTGCAGGCTTTGGCTTCCCCGATGTCCCCGTGCCTGGGTGTCTTGACAGATTTCTTGAAACTGCCATGCTGCTCTTCATTTCCTCCGTGAAGGATTTCTTTTTGCCCTGCACGCTTCTCTTTGACTCCCTGATGTGTGTGAGGAGTCCTGTCCTTCCTCTTGCTTGTTCCTGCGCTGCGCTGGGGGATTCCCCTGGAGTGGGCAGCGTGTCCTTGCACAGTGCTCGTCACTCACAGCAGCTCCATCCCAGCGTTAGAAATACAGCAGTGACACAAGCTGCTCTCCGTTGTGCTGTCAGTGATCGGCACAGGTTCCACGTGGGAGCTGGGTGTCCCAGGAGGGAAGGCTTAGGGCTGGGGGGGGGGTTATCAGTGTGTTTAATTAAGGGGGAGAACAAGACAGAGTCAGGCTCTTAGCCATGCCCACTGGGAGTGCAAGAGGAAAGGGGCACGAACTGAAATACAGGAAATTTGGTTTAAACAGGAAGAAAAACTTCTAGTGTGGAAGTGATCAAACCCCGGAGCAGGCTGCCCAGAGACGCTGCGGGGTCCCCACCGTGGGGATGTGTGAAACACAGACAGACACACAGACAGACAGACAGACACACACACACACACACACACGTCTCTGCCATTCCTTTCCATACGTGCTCTGGCTCAATTTCTCCCTCCAGCGGGCTCCCAGCCCTGATTGTCTGTTGTGGACTTTTATTTTGTTAAAATTCTTCTCCCTTTAGCTAAAATTTTGTATCTTGAGCTCCTGCCCTGCAGGGCAGCTTGGTGAGAGTCGCTGCCAGTGGAAGCCCCAGGGCTGGAGCTGATGGCCCTGGGCATTGCTCCTTACCGAGAACTGTTTCTCCATGGGGCTCTGCTGCTGCTGCCGTGGCTCAGCAGGGGAAGGTGCTGAGCCGCTGGGGTTTGCACCGTGCCCACGAGCTCTGTGCCGGCTCCTGGGGTGTGGTGTCCTTACCCCCCAGGTGTTCCTGGGTCCCTCCCTTCTTCTGAAGGCTTGTTGTCCTTCTAGCAACAGCTCTAGGCTGCCTGCTCTCAGCTGCCTTTTGTGCTGTCCTCACCCGAGATATGGAATCATGAGTTACAGAACCAGGGCTCCCTGCCCGCAGTGTCAGCGGGTGTGTGCCGTTTGGTGTCAGTGCCCTGTCCTCCCCAGGGACAGGCTCCTCCGACGTGCTCCTCGTGCTGCAGCTCGGTGCTCTCGGGCTGGCAGCACTCAGCAGCTGAGGAATGAATGAGCTGTGCCTTCTCTCTGCTCTTTGCCCTGTTTTGTCCCGGGGGCTCCTTCCTTTGTTTCCCCAGGATCTGTTGGTGTGGTCCTGCACCAGCGCTGCGGGTCTGGGTCTCTCCTTCCCTCACACCCCGCTCCCCTCGCCTGCAGGGTGGTTTTTGGGGGTGCTCCTGCCGGGCTCTTGCGATGGAGGGGAGAGGGGAGATGCTGGGGGGAAGGCACTGGGCCTGCCTTCTCTTCTCAGCCCCGACACACTTTGTCAGTTGGACTTGTTCCCTTTGGGGAAGCCGTGAGCGTTGTGAGGGTCTGAGGCTCGTGGTTTGCACGAGCCCCAGCTGCGTGTGCTCGCCCGCAGGAAGCCAAAGATGCCCTGGAAGCCAAGGAGCGCTACATGGAGGAGATGGCAGACACCGCCGACGCCATCGAGATGGCCACGCTGGACAAGGAGATGGCGGAGGAGCGGGCAGAGTCCCTGCAGCAGGAGGTGGACTCCCTGAAGGAGAAGGTGGAATATCTCACCATGGACCTGGAGATCCTAAAGCACGAGATCGAAGAGAAAGGTGGGAGAGGCGCTGGGAAGGCGGCTCTTGGGGGCAGCCTCGCTGCTGCTCTCTGAGCATGGGGACGGGTGAACTTGTCCTGGGCCTGGGGGAGCTCGGGTTTAATGCCAGAGGCTCAGCTTTAGTGCTTGTGACTGTTGCTGGGGACAGCGGATCCCACCCCAAAAGGTGTTGTGACACATCCTTCACGCGATAGGTAATGCTGCTGCTCGCTGATTTTAGATCCAGCTTGCTGGCTTTGCACTGAGCATAGCTTCAAAACCAGTGCACTGCCCTTGATTTGATTCCCCTGTGGCCTCGTAGCTCTTTGTATTCAAGGTGAGCTTTAAAAATTATGCACAGCAGGGAACGAGCCAGCCGTTGAGCACTTATGCACGTATAAATACTTGTATTTATACCTGCAATAAATCAAACCCCTAGAAGATCTGGCATGCAGGCAGAGGGGTGTGACAGAAAGATGGACGTGTGAAGGGAGTGAGAGGAATGTGGAGAGGACAAAGACAGCCTGCAGGGACGGGTGGACGTTGCTGAAGAGAGCGATGTCGTTTTGTCTGAGTTTGGTTTCGCTGAACCCCGGGGGCCAGGAGGGCTGAGAGCTGAGCTGTTTCCTTTCCACTCCAGGCTCGGATGGAGCAGCATCCAGTTACCAGGTCAAACAGCTGGAAGAGCAAAATGCAAGGCTCAAGGAAGCTCTCGTAAGGTAGGAGACCGCTCGTTGCCCCAGGAGGCTGGGAGGCTGCTGCTGGAGTTGCCCCCTGGGAGAGCCCGTGCCCTCTTGGTCTTTATTCCCTTGGTTCTTCCCTTCCATGCTTTGGGCCCATCCCATGTGTGGTTGTTCCTTCCTCCCTGTCTCTCCTGTGCTCTGTTTGTTTCCCATTCTGCCTTTGCTCCCTCCAGCCCCTCTAGCTCTGATTTTTTTATTTTTTTTTCCAAAAGTGCTGGCCCAGGCACTGGTTGGGCATCACAAGTGTCCTTGGGCAAGCTCAAAAAACTCCCCTCTGTGCCCTGCTGGTCCGTGCAGGTCGGCAGGGCTCTTCAGCAGCTCACTGCCAGCGGGCAGCCAGCACCAACGGGGGGTGGTGGTGGTGTCTTGAAGCCCACCAGGAGCGGTGTATTGCGAGGGGACGGCTTCTGCTGGGCTTGTGCTGAGGCTGGTGGCTCTCTTGAAGGATGCGGGACTTGTCTGCCTCGGAGAAGCAGGAGCACGTCAAGCTTCAGAAACAAATGGAGAAGAAGAACACCGAGCTGGAGTCCCTGCGCCAGCAGAGGGAGAAGCTTCAGGAGGAGGTGAAGCAGGCAGAGAAAACGGTCGATGAGCTGAAGGAGCAGGTGAGTCCACCGACAGAGGGTGGGTGGGGAGGGGAAGCTCAGGGCTGGTTTTGGGCACCGAGCAGCCGCTGCCAGGCAGCTCTGGGTCACCTCTTGGCACGCAGCTCTTTCTGTCCATCGCTCAATTGGTGATACTGCTGCAGGGACTTTAATTTCTGGTCTGAACTCATAACCAAACGCTGTTCCGGCCCTGGAGCTGTGCGGGGCTCTGCTGGGTGCGAGGGTGGCTCCGGAGCATAGGGCGCAGGCGGCTGCTTGTGCCTCCCAGCAGCAATCTGAGGTCTGGTCCCTGTAACCTCCCTGCCTGGCCATCGTTGTGGGGTGTTCCCCAGGCTGAGATGTCGGTGTGGGTGTGGGGCCACCCCGAGGAAGCCCCCACGATGGATCTGTGCTCCCTGCAGAGCTGCCCGGGCCCTCCTCTGAGCTGCTCCCCCCAGGGAGCTGGCCCTGCGCTACCTGAGCACTGCTGGGGTTGTGTGGCCGTGGGCTGCTGGAGGGGTGATGCCTCTTAGGGCAAGGACTGCGACACCCGTTCCCTGTTAAGTGTCTGTGTGTGACCACCACCAGGCCCTCAGGGAGCTTGGTTAGGGCCGTGTCAGGAGCCTACAGACCCAGCCCAAAGGTCGGCAGCATTTACGCTGACCTGAAGCTGTTCAACTTGTGCCCTGGGGCTGCAGCTGAAGAGCCAGTAACAACCGTAGGAGCCACAGCCAGGCCTTGCTTTTCCTGTGCCCTTCCTGCTGGGGCTGCAGGACTGCCTGGGGGCTGTTCTGGTTTGAGCTGTTTGCTGTCCTGGTGTTCTCTGTCACTGGGGGGGGACGCACCAGTCATATCCCATGGGATGACCCCACTGTGGTGCAAAGTGACTTCAAACTGCATTCTCCAGCCAGGTTGTACTGTGAGGGGTGTGTGCTTCCAGGTGGATGCTGCTTTGGGCGCTGAGGAGATGGTGGAGACCCTGACAGAGAGAAACCTGGACCTGGAGGAGAAGGTCCGGGAGCTGCGTGAGACCGTCGGGGACCTGGTAAGAGAAACTCCCCCGGGACAAGGGGCAGTGCTCGCGCTGCCTCCTCCACACCGGCTGTGTGGCTGGGCACTGAGGCTGCCCGAGGGGCTGGGAGCTGCCTGGCAGCGGTGCCAGAGGGGTCTGGGAGCCTCCGCAGGCGTCATGCTCGGTGCCACTTGGAGCAGTGTGCCCGTGTGCTGTGCAGGGCACGGCCTTTGCACCCCAGGGTGCCCCCCAGCTCTGCTCCAAAAACACCAAGCTGCGGGGTAACTGCGTCCCCTGCCACCCCTTGCCAGGAAGCCATGAACGAGATGAACGACGAGCTGCAGGAAAACGCCCGGGAGACGGAGCTGGAGCTCCGGGAGCAGCTGGACATGGCGACAGCGCGGGTCCGCGAGGCCGAGAAGCGCGTGGAGGCTGCGCAGGAGACCGTGGCCGACTACCAGCAGACCATCAAGAAGTACAGAGAGCTGACTGCTCACCTCCAGGTAGGGCGTTCGGTGCTGCAGGGGGCCGGGCTGGGGGGCAGGCAATGCCAGCCAGGAGCGCTTCCCCCTGGAGCTGAGGTCCTTTGGGAGCAGACCTCAGTGACAGGGAGGCAGCACGCGTGGGCCCCTGGGGACGGGCTGGCAGGAGCAGGAACTTCTCCTCTCATCAGGTGGCTGCTGGCCTGCAGAAAGAGCTTCCCTGAGCCTCCAGCAGTGCCAGGCTCACGTGCTTGGTGTGACCTCTGACAGGCCTGGCCCTCTGGCCTCCACCCCGAGGGGGAGTTCACTGGCAGGGCCCCTGCTGGAGGCTGCTGAAGTCAGCGCTGACCACATGGGGGTTTTGGCTTTTCGCTCTGCTGAGCTGCTCCTGCTCCAGGCTGGGAACTGAGTCCTGGACAGGCTGGGATAGTGTGGGGTTGTTCAGCACTGCTCTTGGCTCTCAGCTTTGGTGGTGCAGAGGAGAGGGGTGATGAGTCCGTGTGGAGTCCTTGGCTGCCACACAGCTTGGTGTCAACAGAGCATTTGGACAGTGCTCGTGTTCCTCCTGACGTTCATCCATCACTGCGTGTGTTGCACAATGAGCCCCCAGAGCTCTCCCCACCCTACCCGAGAAGGGGGCACGTGGAGGTTGGGCTGCAGAGCTGTGGGGTTGCGGGGTTGCAGACCTCCCCGCGGCAGTTTTCTGTCTGACAGCAGCTTCTGTCTGTGCTCAGGACGTGAACCGAGAACTCATGAGTCAGCAAGAAGCATCTGCTGAGAAGCAGCAGCAGCCTCCTCCCGAGATGTTTGACTTCAAGATTAAGTTTGCAGAGACAAAAGCCCATGCAAAGGTAGGGGCAGCAGGAGGGCTGTGTGCCAGGCTCACCCACTGGGCGCGGGGCACTTCTGTGTGCCAGGCCCCTGAACTGTGCGGGTGCTGGGCTCGGGGCAGGTTTGTCCCCGCCACGTGGTGGGGCTGGCCCTGGGGCAGCTCTTGGAGCCGGGCTGTGGTGCTCCTGCCAGCAGTGGAAACACCGAGGCAGCTGCTGGGAGGGCACATTGTGGGGGAGCAGGATACCAGCACGGGGGACACTGGCTGACACTGGTGTACCCCAACTTCTCTGGGGCCAGAGCTCCGGAGCAGCCCCCGGGCAGTGATGGGGGGTGTCAGGGAGGGCGGTGGTGGCGGCAGGAGGAGGGGGGCTCTGTGTCCCTGCGGCGCTGAGCTGTGCTGTGTGCTGCAGGCCATCGAGATGGAGCTGCGGCAGATGGAGGTGCAGCAGGCCAACCGGCACGTCTCCCTGCTCACCTCCTTCATGCCGGACAGCTTCCTGCGCCACGGCGGGGACCACGACTGCGTCCTGGTGCTGCTGCTCATCCCTCGGCTCATCTGCAAGGTGGGGGGGCTGCCGCGGCCTCTGCCTGCCCTGGGGGGGGGTTAAGGCTTCATCAAGAGCTCGCGTTAATTCGTGCACCAAGGCTCTGGGCTGGGCTGATGGGGTTTGGAGTGTCTGCAAGCCCGTGGGCCTAACCAGGAGGTGGTGGCTGTGCCACAGCTCTGGGGGAGATTTTCGTTGTGTCCCATGTAAATTTGGGATTTTGAACATTTACTTGTTAATTAATTGCCTGGGTGCAGGGCAGGCTGTCAGCCCTGGTGCCTTGCAGTGCTGAGCGGGCTGCTCGGCTCTCTGCTGTCCCTCTTGTTCTTCCTCTGGACTCAAATCTCTCCCAGGAAGCTTGTTTTTCTGGGGGTAGGGGTGCAGGGGGGATTTGGGCAGGTCCGTGACTAGGTGGGACAGATCAGGGTGGGCGCAGGGGGATTCTCCAAGGTTGTCCTCCCCAACAGGCCGAGCTGATCAGCAAACAAGCTCAGGAGAAGTTTGATCTGAACGAGAACTGCGCGGAGCGTGCTGGCCTCCGGGGCGCTCCGGGAGAGCAGCTGAGCTTTGCTGCAGGGCTGGTGTATTCCCTCAGCCTCCTGCAGGCCACGCTGCACAAATACGAGCAGTGAGTACCCAGCCGCCCCCAGCCCCAATTCCCACCCTCTTCACCCTCTGGAAGCACGGAGCTCGCAGCCCCGCAGCAGGGCCCGGACCCTGCTGGAGCTGAAGTTTGGGCAGCGAGGCTGGAACAAAGCTGAGGGGCCCCGGGTTTCTCCCTGCTATGGGGTGGTCGCTTCTCTTCTGTCCCCTTCCTCATTTTCTTCCCAAGAACATGGGAGACTCAAATCTCTAGCATGCATGGCTGGTTCTTCAGCTGTGTCAGCGTGTCTTTAGCTCAGGATTAGCCTTGGTGCGCTGATTTTTATTTTTATTTTCCATCTGTCCCACATCACAGCCTTTTTCTTGCTGAGCTGAATTGTGCCTGGGATTCGCTCTGGGCTTCAGGCTCCCAGCCCCCTGCAGCCCAGTGCCCCCTTCCACACGTGCCCCGTGCTCAGTTCCACGGGAGAGCTTCCCCAGCGCGTCACTGAGCACCGTACGGGGCATTGCTGGTGCTGGCAGGCAGACCTCGTGTCTCCCTCCCCAGGGCCCTGAACAAGTGCAGCGTGGAGGTGTATAAGAAGGTGGGGATGCTGTACCCCGAGATGAGCGTCCACGAGCGCTCCCTGGACTTCCTGATCGAGCTGCTGCACAAGGACCAACTGGACGAGACGGTCAACGTGGAGCCGCTGACCAAAGCCATCAAGTACTATCAGGTACGTGGCTGTGGCGTGGGGGAGCTGCAGATAAAGCCCACTGGCAGCGACTCCCCTTTGGGTGCTTTTCACCCTCGGAGCGTGCAGGACGTGAGCCTGAGTCACTGGCACCTGGGGGCTGCGTCCTCTGTCCCTGGGAGGACGCGGGCAGCAGGGACGTGGTTCCCCTGTCCCAGGCTCGTGCAGCTCTGTGGGCAGGGCAGGGGCGCTGACCTGTTTGAGTTAAAGGCCATCGGTCGGGGGGCAGTGTTGACAGGGACCCGGCGGGGTCATTGCGGGAGGTTGCACTTCAGTTGGAAGTTGGGCCAAAAATTCAGTGTTTGTTTTTGTTCTGGATTCCCTCATTGGGTTTATTTGCTTGTGTGTGTGCAAACCTTGGAGGGGTGATGATCTCTGCTGTTTTCCCCCAGCACCTGTACAGCATCCACCTGGCTGAGCAGGCTGAGGACTGCACGATGCAGCTGGCTGACCACATCAAGGTGAAGCGGTGCCAAATAACCTCAATGTCCTTGTCGTGTGCTGTCTGCCTCTGCCCCCCCCAATCCCCTGAGATCGTTCTGTGAATTAGGATGTCCCTCTGTCCCCTCCTCCCCTCGCAGCACAGCCACGCTGCAGGCTCCCAGCTCGGGGAGAGGGGAGGGAAACCCAGGCCCTTCACCCTGCAGACATCCCCGGGAGAGAAGAGCAGTGAGGGAGGTGCAGGGAGCCCTGTGTCTGGGGGGGGGAACGTTGTGCTTCCCGAGCCACTGCACTCCCTGGGCTTCAGAGGTGGGTGCGGGTGTCTTGAGCCCCACGGAGTAAAACAAGAACGGATTCAATGCCTTAAACTTCTCCTGGGAAACCTGGAGCCATGGCAGCGTGGCGTAGAGAGGGCCCGTCCCGAGATACCCGAGACCAAAGCCCCAGCTTGTCCTGGGGCAGCTGCCCTGCCTGGGGTCTGCTGCCCTGAGCTCACGGTGCCCGTGCTTGTGCTCCGCAGTTCACGCAGAGTGCCTTGGACTGCATGGGCGTGGAGGTGTGCAGGCTGCGAGCCTTCCTGCAGGTAGGAGTGCCCGACCCTGCTGCCTGCTGCTGGGTTCCCCCCAGCCCTCGGTCAGGTCTTTCTGAGGTCCTTTTGCTGCTCCCCAGGCTGGGCAGGAGGCGTCCGACCTCGCCATCCTCCTCAAGGACCTGGAGACCTCGTGCAGCGACATCCGCCAGTTCTGCAAGAAGATCAGGCGCCGCATGCCGGGGACAGACGCCCCGGGGATCCCCGCGGCGCTGGGCTTTGGGCAGCAGGTGAGCTGGGCGGCCAGGCAGGGAGCCCGAGCTGCTCCCTGGGGGGCCACGGCCACGTACTGGGGCTGGCACCGAGAGCATTCAGCTCGCTGCCCTCCTCGCTGGCTCCACAGAGGGAGCACAGCACGCAGCCTGGCAGAGCCCTGCATGAGCCAAGCAGCAGCACAGGGATGGAGTGTCTCTGGGCTTTATGTTCTGGTCAGGGTGGAGACGTGGCCTCTGTAAGCTGCTCTCCTCCAGCCTCGAGCTTCTTTCTGTCTTTCCTGGTGTTTTCCATCCTCCTCCTTCAGACGCGCGTTAGACACCAGGAGCTGGCACCAGAGCGAGGGAAGCGTGCAGCCGGGTGCTGCAGTGTCTGGGAGGGAGCTGGGGGGCAGCCCCCTGCCTGCCCTCCCTGACCCCCCCCGTTTGCCCGGCCCCAGGTTTCGGACACGCTGCTGGACTGCCGCAAGCACCTGACCTGGGTGGTGGCCGTGCTGCAGGAGGTGGCCGCGGCGGGCGCGCAGCTCATCGCCCCTCTGGCGGAGAACGAGGGGCTGCTGGCGGTGAAGCTGGAGGACCTGGCCTTCAAGGCGAGCGAGCAGGTGGGAAATCCTCTTCTCGCTGCCCCTGCTCCCTGCTGCGGCGGGGGGAAGTTGGTGCATGTCCCCGGGGGCTGCGGACCTGCCTGGGAGGGTCTCGGGGAGCCTGGCAGTGAACTGGGAGCGTGGCCGGGGAATGCCGAAATGCAGCGCGCTCCGGTCCCTGCTCTGTGCTCTCCTTCCCCACGGCTGGCCTCGTGCTGCAGCCACACCAAGGGGCACCTGCTGGGGAGCCAGGAGGGGGCTGCAGCAGGGGCTGAGGGGCACCTACAGCTTCTGTCCTGTCCCGTGCAGATCTACGGCACCCAGGGCATCAACCCCTACGAGTGCCTGCGGCAGTCCTGCAGCATCCTCATCGCGACCATGAACAAGATGGCCACGGCCATGCAGGAGGGAGAGTACGATGCTGACAGGCCACAGACCAAGGTGGGCTTTGCCTGCGGGAGGAGCCTCGGGCGTTTGAGCTGCTCTGGGATTCCCCACAACTCGGGATCCTGCTGAGAGAGACGAGACCTTTGCGAGGTCTTGGTGCCTTCGAGGTTTCCCCAGGGGCTGACACTGGTGGTGGTGAAGGCACAGGGAACAGTGACCCCCAGGAGAACAAACACCGAGGTGCAGTGCCCTGAGGCTGGTGGTGCTGGGACGTGGTGCTGAGCACACGGAGCGAGCTGCTGATGTGCTCAGCACGTGGTGGGCAGCGGTGGGGTACCCGCTGCTGGTCCCTGGCTAGAGAAGTCCTCTGGGTGCAAGGGGGGACAGAGACCTGGGGATGGGTGGCAGAGGCCTGCAGGTACAGGGAGGCCAAGAACAGTCCCCCACTTGCCCTGTGGCCCATTTGCAATTACTGGGATTCCTCTTAAAACACCGCTATTCATGGCTTTTTCCTCTGGTGTGTTGCAGCCCACTCCCCCTGCTGAGCTGCGGGCCGCGGCTCTTCGGGCAGAGATCACTGATGCTGAGGGGCTGGGGCTGAAGCTGGAGGACAGGGAGACGGTCATCAAGGAGCTGAAAAAGTCCCTCAAGATCAAGGTGAGCCGTTCCTCACCTGCCTTTGGTGGTCGGTGAGGAGCTGCAGTGGGGCTGCTGAGCTCCCGGCGCCGTGCTGCCCGTGGTGCTGGCTGCCCCAAATCCTGGTCGGATCTCCTGGAGGTACCGACCCTGCTGCCAGGGAGCTGCTGCCTGCTGTGGCGGGGGCAGGACCGATGGTTTGTGGGCAGGCTCCCCCCAGGCACCACGAGGAGCTTTCCTTGGTGCCACCCCCAGGGCCTGAGCCCCCTGATCTCTGCTGCTGCAGGGCGAGGAGCTCAGCGAGGCCAACGTGCGCCTCAGCCTCCTGGAGAAGAAGCTGGACAGCGCGTCCAAGGACGCAGACGACCGCGTGGAAAAGATACAGACCAAGCTGGATGAGACCCAGACGCTGCTCAAGAAGAAGGAGAAGTAAGTGTGGGGTGGGTTCGTGGAGCTGGGGCTGCACGGTCTGCATGCCTCGGGCTGGCTGGGAGCATTGGTGAGTTAGTGCAGGGCGATACTATGGGGGGCTGAGCAGGGGAACCGCTGTGTTCGTGGTGCACAGCAGAGCTCAGGCTGGGACAGGGATCCTGGGGAAGGCATTGTTCAAACACTCTGTGGAAAAGGCCGTTGTCCTGGCGTGTTCTTACTGCCATCGCTGTGCTCCGAGGATCTCCCACATGGTCTGTGTGCTCTTCCCCAGGGAGTTCGAGGAGACCATGGATGCTCTTCAGGCAGACATCGACCAGCTGGAGTCGGAGAAGGTGGAGCTGAAGCAGCGCCTGAACAACCAGTCCAAGAGAACCATCGAGGGCCTGCGCGGGGCTCCTGCCTCCGGGGTTGCCTCCATCGTGTCCGGCATTGCCGGAGGTGTGTAACCACCGAGAGCTTCCCAGCTGCCGTGGGGTGGGGGCAGAGGGGCAGGAGGCAGAGGGGCAGGAGCCGTGCAGGGGAATGCCCCCTGCACTGGGAGCAGCGCAGCTCTGCTGCCCAACCTGTCCTCGGGGAGCCACGGCCCTGGTGGGGGACAGGATGGGGAGAGGGCAGGAGGTGTTTGGGCTCTCGTGGTGATGAGTGGGGCATGCAGGCAGCCCGCAGCCCCTGGCAGCTCCGTGCAGGGGCAGGCAGAGCAGCGAGGGCAGCTTTGTGGAGCTGGCTGGGCCCATCCTCCCCGCAGGGTGCTCCAGGGGGGATGCAGGGCTCCGTGCCAGCCTGCTGGCAGGGTCCTCCCTGCTGCATGCAGCGCCTGCCTCCCGTGCTGCAGCTCCCCAGGACACGGGTGGGCTCTGCTGTCCACCTGGCTTGGTGGATGTGAGCCAATTTCCCCTGAAGCCCCCAGCAAGGGGTGGGTGATGGTGAAGGACAGGCGATGGCTAAGGCTGCGGTTCCTCGTGCTGCCTAGCAGGGGGGTTAGCAGCCTTCTGAGGTCCCTCCATTTGGAGGAACACCCTATGAAAACTGCCTGGAGACAAATACAGAGGCAAAGCAGGGCCATGGGGTGACAGAGCTGTGCTGGCATCTTTGTCAGGAGCTCTGGCCATCGGGCAGTGCGTGGCCTGCTGAACTGTGAGCTCAGCTCTCCTTTGGGACCATGCCCAGGAGGCTGGGGAGCAGCCTGTGCCTCTAGCAGCAGCGTGCCCATGGTCTGCTGGGTCTGTGTCCCTCACGGCCCCACCAGGGCTGGGTAAGAGCCCTGCACAAGGAGGGCAGGGCAGGTCTCAGGCTGGCTCTGGCTGCACCACGAGTGCTGTCGGTTTGCCAAGAGGCAGAGGTCACCCCCTGGTCACCCCCTGCCCCCAAAACACCCCGTGAGGATGCAGATCCTGGGTGCAGCAGCTCCTGCTTCCCGTGGAGCTGCAGCTTCTCCCTGAGTCGCCGTGGCCACAAGCTCTGGCTCTCTGGGCACCCTGAAGGTGCCACCGGCGTGGTCTGGGTGCTGAGCAGTGTACGCGGCGCTGAGCACTGTGCCAGCACCAGCCTGCGTTCTGCTGGGGATGTGCAAAGCCTGAGGGGCCTCCGTGGGGCTGCTCCTGCACTGGGAGGCTCTGGCTGAGCGTCTGGGGCAGATCCGTGTGGATCCGCACCTCTTCAGACCCAGAGCAAGGGGCAGCAGTCGTGGGCCCACGCGTGTCCCACTCGGATGGCTCGCAGCCCTCTGGGCACGGCTCCTTCCAAAGCTGACCCTTGGCTTAATTCTGCTTCTTCTCATCTTTCCTCTGCCTCCTCTCCTCGTACCGCAGAGGAACAGCAGAGAGGTACAGTACAGTACTGCTCCCCAGCATGCGAGTGCTCCCAGCCCCGGCCGTGCATGCAGGGGCTGCAGGGAGGTGCCCAGGGCAAGGTCTGGCCGGGGCGGAGGGGGGAAGGAGCCAGGACGTGTGGGTGCCATGGGGGCTGTGGGGCAGGGGAGCGGGCAGCTGCTGTGACCCCAGCACTGGAGAGAGGGGGCCTGGAGCAGCCGGGGAGAACCCCGTGTTTTGGGCAAGGGGCGACGGGTGCCCGGTGCCGGGGCTGCTGAGGAGCGTGGGTGCGTGATGCTGCCCGGCCCTGCTGGGTTTTGGCCTTTTCCATCCGAGCAAGGTGTGTGCAGTGCTGCATGTTCCCGATGGCTCGCGGGGCACCCGGGTGTGCACCCCCCGGTGCTGCGGCCGTGTCCCGGTGCCCAGCCCCCTCTGCATGCCTGGCGCCCGCTGCAGCTCCCCGTGCCGGGGCGTTTTGGGTGCTGACAGCGCTGCTTTGTGCCTGCTGCAGGTGTGGGCACCGGCCAGGCAGCAGGGAGGAGGCTCGGGGCCGGTGCAGGTGAAGGACTCGCCTCTTCTGCTGCAGCAAATCGAAGCCCTGCAGCTCTCCATCAAGCACCTCAAGAACGAGAACAACCGGCTCAAGGTGAGGAGGGGGCAGCAGATGTTGCTTTATGGAGGGGAGGGAGCTCTGCGGGGAGCTCAGCCAGGACACGAGGGCACTGTCCCCACTCCTGTGCTGGGCTGGCAGCACCTGGTGCTGGTGTCGTGTCCCTGCCCGGCCCCAGCCCCGTTGCAGCAGATGCTCTGGTTGCTGGCCGATGGAGCCTGATCCAGTCCCTGATTGATTAATGATTGCACTATGAGGAAATTGGCAAAGCAGCACATAATCTAATTAGCAAAATAACGTTCCACTGGTATTAATTCATAGACATATCATTATGCAGATTATTATGCATAACTGTGCAGATGTTAATTGTAGCTCTTAAATCCGAGTCACGTCCGTGGCCACTGCCTCGTTAGGGTGCTGTAAGTGCTGGGGTGCCGATCTGTTCCCTGCCCTGAGGCTCACAGCCGCTCAGCTGTATTTACACCTCGTTTTCTCTGCTCTACTCCTCCCAAATAAACAACTTCTGATCACCTTTACCCGCTGGTTCTAGGGAGCCCAGATGAAGATGGAGCTGGCCAGCTTGAAACCTCTGCACGTAGCTAAGGTCTCTGTCGCCAAGAACAAGCACGGGGAAGATCTGGCTACGGTCAGCCTCTATCGCAAGACAAGCCAGCTCCTGGAAACCCTCTACCAGATGAGCACCAACACTAAGGTGGTGGACATGAAGCAGACAAAGTCAGGTAGGTGCTGCACAACCCCCCTGGGGCTGAGGCAGCTGGGAGACCATGCAGAGGTGCTCTGTGCCGCGGGGGGACTGCTGATGGGGACTGGCAGCTCCTGGCCATCCAGCTGGGATCCAGCAGGGTCTGTGGGCACGGCTCCAGCCTGCCCCGTATCCCTGGGAGGGATGGGGCTGTGCAGCTTGTGCTGGCCGGGCTTCCACTGGGGAGCTCTCCTGGCCCAGAGCCGTGTCCCTCCTGTCCCAGCACGTGTCTGGGGACAGCGTGGCTCCAGCCTGGCGGGCAGGAGGCTGAAGCTGTTTCCCTGTCGGGGTGGCTCAGCCTCGGACCCAGGGTGCTGCAGGCTGAGCCTGGAGCCTCCTGTCCCCACAGCCCTCCTCTGGTGGCAAAGAACCGGGGCTGGGCCGGTGCTCCGCGGTGTGGGACCTGTGCTGAGGGCTGGGTGCTGGGTCCTGCTGGGCCATGGGGGGTGCAGTGCCCCTTCCTCACCCCCGGCCTTTGCAGGAAGGAGCGCAGGCCACGCGCCTGCTGGAGCAGACGGCCCGCCTGTGGTCCCTGAAGACCACCATCGACACGCTGCAGGTACGGCGGGCCTGGGGGGGTGTCGGGGCGAGGGGTGGGCTGGGGGCTGCGGGGCACAGCCCCCCCCTGCCCCCGGGGCTCGTGGTGCTGATGGTGCGGTGTGCCCCCCTGTGCCCCCAGGCCGACACGCTGCGGGAGGTGGTGCAGCAGCACCCGGGCGCCAGCGTCCCCACGGCCTTCGGCGTCTTCCCGTCCTCCTCCTTCCTCAAGGTGAGTGGGAGCTGGGCAGGGTGGGGGGCTGCCGGTCGGTACTGATCGATCACCGATCGCTAATCACTGCTCCCATTGATCCCGCAGGCGCAGCGGGAGCAGGAGCAGGGCGCCGCTGCCTTCGGGCGCGTGTCGGTGCCGTGCGCAGGCCGGGCAGGGCCACACGGAGCGGGTGCTGCTCACCCCCGAGCTGCTGCAGCGCCTGCAGGGACACTTCGTCTGCTGAGCCCCCCCCCGAGCCGCCCCCGCACCGTCCGCACGGACCGGACCCGGCGGGACCCCCCCCACCGCACCCCCACCCCGTCCCCGCCCTCCCCCCAATAAAGCTCCCGCTCCCCGCACTCCGCGCTTTTATTCACGGGGGGCGGGGCTACGGGACTCCGCGGCGGCTCCCATTGGCTGTGGGCGGCGAGGGGCGGGCAGCAGCCGCGATACGCAGCGCTGATTGGTGGGGCGGCAGAGGTGGGCGGGGCCGCCTGATTCTCCCGATCATTGGCCGAGGCGCTTCGCGCCGATTGGTGGGCGGGGAGCAGCTCGCGGGCTCCCATTGGCTGCAGGCGACGAGGGGCGGGCTTCCGGTGCGGGGCGGCCAGTTCCGGGCGGCGGCAGCGGCAGGCGGGATGGTGAGCGGGGGGCGCCGGCCTCAATCCGCCCCCATCCGCACCGGGACGGCACCGGGGGGCGCGGGGGGGGCGGGGGCGGCTCCGGGGGGGTGCCTCGGGGCTTGGGGGGGGGGCATCTTGCGGGGATGGAGGGGGGGCGGGAGGGGGGCACCGAGCGCGGCCTGGCCCGGCCCGGCCCGGCCCGGCCCGCGTGTGACCGGCGCCCCGCAGGTGCTGCTGCACGTCCTGTTCGAGCATGCGGCCGGGTACGCGCTGTTCGCCGTGCGCGAGGTGGAGGAGATCAGCCTGCTGCTGCCGCAGGTACGGGATGGGGGGGGGATATTGGGGGGCTGGGGGGGGAATTGGGGGGCGTGGGGGCGTGGGGGGGGGGCTGCTGACCCCTCCCGGGGCCGGTCGGTGCCCGCCGGGCGCTCAGGGGGTGCCGCGGGCAGGTGGAGGAGAGCGTCCTGACCATCGGCAAGTTCCACAACGTGGTGAAGCTCGTGGCCTTCGCGCCCTTCAAGTCGGCGCAGAGCGCGCTGGAGAACATCAACGCCGTGTCCGAGGGTGAGTGGGGGGGCACCGGGGGTAGGGGGCGAAGAGGGTGGGGGGCACGGCCCCGCTGAGCCGCCCCCACCCCCCCCCACAGGGATCCTGCACGAGGACCTGCGGCTGCTGCTGGAGACCTCGATGCCCGCCAAGAAGAAGAAGGCGCTGCTGGGGGTCGCCGACGCCAAGATCGGGGCGGCCATCCTGGAGGAGCTGGGCTACCAGTGCCAGACCGGGGGGGTCGTGGCTGAGATCCTGCGGGGTGAGTGCCCGGGGGCACTGGGGGCAGGGGGATCTCGCGGCCTGGGGGGAGCCTCGGGCCCTGCAGGGGGGGCGCAGCCTGGGGGTGCTGAGCCAGCACATCCCGGCCGGGGTGGTGACGGAGCCCCCCGTGCAGGGATCCGCCTGCACTTCCACGCGCTGGTGAAGGGCCTCACCTGCGCAGTCGGCCTCCAAGGCACAGCTGGGCCTCGGCCACAGCTACTCCCGGGCCAAGGTGAAGTTCAACGTGAACCGCGTGGACAACATGATCATCCAGTCCATCAGCCTGCTGGACCAGCTGGACAAGGACATCAACACCTTCTCCATGCGCGTTCGGTGAGGGGGGTCCCCGGGCGGGAGGAGGGGCGCGGGTTTCCTCCCCACGCTTACCACAGGCAGCTCGTGCTCCGGCTGCCTGTACAGAACGGGGAGGGAGAGCACGGCCCCGAATGCACCCCAGCCTGGGAGGCCGTGCCCCGGCTGGATTGTGAGCGGGGACACACGTGGGGCCGGCGGGCGGGGGCGTGCATGGGGCCAGGGCTGTGCCCTGACGCTGTGCCTGCAGCGAGTGGTACGGGTACCACTTCCCCGAGCTCATCAAGATCGTCTCCTGAGAACTACACCTACTGCCGGCTGGCCAAGTTCATCGGCAACCGCAAGGAGCTGAGCGAGGAGAGCCTGGAGGGGCTGGAGGAGATCGTCATGGACAGCGCCAAGGCTCAGGCCATTCTGGAAGCTTCCCGCTCCTCCATGGGTAGGTGGGGATGGGCAGCGATGGCTCCGTCGGAGCTCTGAGCTGAGCGGGGTCGCTGCTGCTGCCTGGTTGGCGTTGCTCAGCCTTGGTGCTCGTCTTGCCCAGGCATGGACATCTCCCCCATCGACCTCATCAACATCGAGAGCTTCTCCAGCCGCGTCATCTCGCTGTCCGAGTACCGCAAGGGCCTGCAGGAGTACCTGCGCTCCAAGATGAGCCAGGTGGCTCCCAGCCTCTCGGCTCTCATCGGGGAGGTGGTGAGTGCGAGTGTGTCCCCCCCGGCTGCCCCCGGCCGCGGAGATGATGTCTCAGTTAATCTGTCAATCCACTGAGCTGTGCTGCTGACACCTCTCACTGCTGATCCCGGCCTGGGGGCTCCGTGCTGCCCCGTCCTGCTGGCGTGGGGCTGTGGGACAGGGGCAGCCCTGACCCCTGCCCCATTCCTCGCAGGTGGGCGCCCGCCTCATCTCGCACGCCGGCAGCCTGACGAACCTGGCCAAGTACCCGGCCTCGACGGTGCAGATCCTGGGGGCCGAGAAGGCTCTGTTCAGGTACCGCTGCAGGGTGGTTGCGGTGATGGCAGGCTCCTGGGCCGCTGGGTGCGATGCGCCGGGCCCCCGCTGCCTCGGCTGCGTGTGATCAGCCAGCCCCAGCTCCTGAGCGACCACCGCGGCTCTGCGTCTCGCCCAGCGGGGCGTGCTGGGTGCCCCGGGCGGCTCTGCCCAGGGCTTTGCCTGGAGGTTAGCGCTGTGGTGGGCTGGGAGCTGGGAGGCAGCCCCTGGGGCACTGCCTGTGAGCCAGCACCGGGGCTGGGGGAGGAGCAGCGGCTCGGCCTGGGCTCTCCCCTGATGCCTCCCCCGGTTCCAGGGCTCTGAAGACGCGGGGGAACACCCCCAAGTACGGGCTGATTTTCCACTCCACCTTCATCGGGCGGGCGGCCGCCAAGAACAAGGGGCGCATCTCGCGCTACCTGGCCAACAAGTGCACCATCGCCTCCCGCATCGACTGCTTCTCAGGTGGGTGGGGGGGCCGCGGCCCTTGGCGCCCTGCAGGCTCTGCCGTGATGGTAAAATTTTTCGTCAACAGCATTTCACTGAGTGAATGGTGACTCCTGTGGTCTGAGCAGAGCGCTGGGGCTGGGGGAGGTGGGAGGTTGGGGCAGGAGGAGGGGTGCTGAGCCCCCGTCCTGTCCCTGCAGAGGTCCCCACCAGCGTTTTCGGGGACAAGCTCCGGGAGCAGGTGGAGGAGCGGCTCGCCTTCTACGAGACCGGGGAGCCGCCCCGCAAGAACCTGGAGGTCATGAAGGAGGCCATGGTGGAGGTGAGGCCTTGTGGGGTGGCTGGGCAGGGCCCCGTGTCGGACGTGATGTCAACCTGCCATCCTGACCTGCCATGGAGGCAAAAAAAAAACTGATTTAATGAGGCTGATCCGACTGGTGCCACGGGAAGGGGCTGGGACCGAGCCGTGTGCTGGGAGCCAGTCCCCACCCTGATGAGCTCGCTCTGCTCCCCTGGCAGGCGAACGAGGTGGTGGCTGAGGTCAAGAGGAAGCAGGAGAAGAAGGAGAAGAAGAAGAAGAAGCGAGAGAAGCGGCGGCTGGAGGCTCTGGCTGCAGCTGCAGAGGAGATGGAGGACTCGGTGGAGGCAGAGGAGGCAGAGGTGAGGGCAGGAGCTCCAGGCGGGTGCCTGTCAGGAAGGGGCTGTGGTGGCCCTGCTGTGCGGGGTGTGGCCGGTCCTTGCCCTGCAGGGTTTGTGGGGGCGTTGGGACCCCCAAAAAAAACAGCCCAGCCCCCACATGTGAGGGAAGCAGCCTGCATGGACCTGGCATTTGTCTCCTCCCCGGGCTGGACACAGCCCATTTATTTACGGTCGGTTTCCCTTCAGGAAAACGACACAGAGCCTGTGAAAAAGAAGAAGAAGAAGAAGGAGCAGGAGTCCCTCTCAGAGCCTGAGGAGAACGGGCTGGAGGAAGACGCCTTGCCCAAGAAGAAAAGGAAACTGACGGGAGAGGCTGCCCAGCTGGAGAAGAAGAAGAAGAAGGCGGCCAAGGACTTGGAGGAGGACTAGGGGAGCAGGAGCTGGAGCAGACCTGTGCTCCAGCAGTGTGGACTCATTGCCTGGCAGGAGCTCAGCTTGGCACGGCTGCGGCCCCCCCGCCTGCCGTCCCAGGGCTCCCGGCAGCTGCATGCCCCAGAATGTAACCGGGGGGGCTGCATTAAAGGCGTTTTGGCACCTCGGGGTCCGGGTGAGTCCATGGGCCAGGCCCAGGTGCCAGCAGGCTCCACGTGGAGGCCTGAGCCTCGCTGTGCCTTACGCAGCGTTGCCTCCTCGAGCCCATTTTGGGCTGGCTCTGGTTGTGTCCTGCCTGTCCCAGCACCCCCAGCATGCGCAGTGGGGGCAGGAAGTAGCTCGGTGTGACTGAACCTCAATAAAGGGCTGAGGTTGTTGTCCATCGCCTCTGTCTTCTGTTCCGCTGCAGCTTTCAGAAGGGGCTGAAAGCCTGGGAGAGGCAGGGGGAGGCCCCAGCTTTGCTTTGCTCCCCCTTGCCCAGGCAGGAAGGGGCCGGGCAGTCCCCCTGCTCCCCCCAGCACCCTGTAGCTGTGCCCATCCTGCCCCAGCTCGCCTCCAGGAGGGGCCTGGTGCCGCTGGAGCAGCCAATGCAGCTTGCATGGTGCTGTGCCCCCCACCCCCTGCTGCATCCACAGTCGGTGCACACCCAGAGCCCCCCGTCGTGCTGCAGAGGCCACTTTATTACAGGGAAGCAATAAATTACCGGGCAGGCAAAGCAGGCGCCCCTGGGCTGCCCACGGCCGAGCAGCAGCCCTACACATCCAGGGCTGCTATCACCGCTTGGGTGAAGTCCAGGGACGTGGCGTATCCACCCATGTCCGCTGTGCGCACCTGCAACGAGAGGGGAACATCAGCACCGCGGGGCTGAGCCCCCCCAAGGCCTTCTGAAGCCCCCCTTGGTGTCCCCAGCGCTGGTGCAGGGGCCATGGGGACAGCTGTGGGAGCAGGGGGCAGGTGGTGCATCCCATCTGCATCGTGCAGCAGCAGTCCTCTTGATTTTTTTAATCTTTTTTTTTTGCTGCTGTGTCTGACACCACAGCTGTGGGGGTGTGTGCGGTGCTGGGTGTCCTGCCGCAGGCTTCAGCAGTGACCAGCACTTTTCCCCCTGCTCTGAGCCCCCCCCCAGGGGGCTGCTGGTGGCTGCAAAGGAAGGGCGGCACCTCTCCTGCACCCAGAGGGCTGTGGTAAGAGCAGAGCTCCCTGGGCAGAGCTCCCCTGCTGCAGGCTGGGGGTGGGGGTGAGGAGCTGGACCCCCCAGCTCCAACAACCGGCATCTGGCACCTGCAACACGGCTTCAGGTCCCTGCCAGGGCTGGGGCCGACACGCACCTCACCATGACCCTGCTGGTGTGGGGCAGGGCAGGGGGAGAGCAACCCTGTGGGGAAACAGCACTGGGGTTGGGGGGCAGCGTTGGTCCCTTTATTTGCAAACACGGATACAGAGCATGGCGGCACCCAGGCCCCACTCCCTCACACTCAGGGCAGTGTCTGCCCCATGGTCCTGCCCAGCGCGTGCAGCCCAGCCCCACAGCGCCGTGGGGCACAGCCCCTGGGGGCAGCAGCAGCAGCAGTGTGCCCACCCTGGGCACAGCGAGCAGCCAGCAGTGCCTGGGCCTCCTCCTGCACTGCCCTGCCTGGGGGCGGGGGGCTCAGCTCACAGCCTCCAGAGCCCCCTCGCACAGCCCCTGGCCTGCACCGGGTGCTGGGGGCCGGCAGCGCCCCCACCCCACAGCCGCCTGTCCCAGGACCTGGCACTGAGCCCGAGGGGCTGCTGGTGCCGAGCGAGAACCTTCCCCTTCTGCGTCCCTGGGTGTGGGGTCTCAGCCCGGGGGTCCTATTTATTGCTACTGCTTCTGTGGGCAGGGGGAGGACCCCACAGGACCCCGGCCCCGCTGAGCTGCCTGCCGGGGGCTGTGCTGGGCGCTGCCCACCACCTGGCACCACCCCGGCTATGGGGACGAGGGGAGACGGAGCCGACGTGAAGCTGGGGGCTGGGAGCCCCCCAGTGCCGGCCACGGGTGGGTGCTGGGCTGGGGAGGAGGCGAGCCCCCTCCTCCCCAGGGACCTGGCAGCCGGGGGGTGGGTGGGGGGAGGCGGCGCTGCTAGGCCTTAAGCTGGGGGAGGCTGGTGGAGGGTGGAGGGCGCGGAGAAGTCCCGGGGCTGCCCGCGGGGCTCCTAGGCCCCATAGTGGGGGTGCAGGTTGTCAATCACAGACTTGACGAAGTCAGAAGTGGTGCAGTAACCGCCCAAGTCCCGTGTCCGAACCTAAAAATCCAACACAGGGAAGGGGAGAAACAAGGGAGAAACGCCATCGTGAACTGAGCGCAGTGACCGCGAGCAGGGAGAGGGGAGCAGCTCCCTCTGCACACCCTGCTGGCACCCCGGCGGGGCAGCAAGCCGGGAAGAGGCCGCCTGACGTCCCCCACAGCTCCCCTAGGCAGCGAACGCTACGGACAGCACGAGACAAGCACAGAGGGACCGACTACAGCACGGCTGCACGCGGGTTTCGGAGCTGACGGCTGGGGAGGGAGCTGGGACACAGCTCCCACGGGAGCTACGGACACACACCGGGAGCGGCCGCCCAACACTCACTTTTCCGACTTTGATCACCTTCTTCACCGCGTCCGCGATCAAGTTGGAGTGAAATTCCAAACTAGGGAGTGAAAGCAGACACAGGTCAGCCCCTCGCTGTCAGTCCGCGCCCCCCCCCAGCCGCCTGCCCCGTGCCCCCATCCCACACACCCCCATCAGGCTCTTACTTGAGGTGCCGCAGCATGTTGGCAGCTGAGAGCAGCATGGCCGTGGGATTGGCGATGTTCCTGCCCACGGCCTGGGCGAAGGGGTGGCGGGCGCCCTGCAGGAGGAGAGGCCGGTGAGGGAGCAGCCCCGCAGCCCCCCACAGCCCCCCGCAGCCCCCTGCAGAGCCCCCCCCTCACCATCTCGAAGACGGCGTACTCGGCGCTGTAGCTCTCCCCGGGCACCACGCCGGCACCGCCCACCAAGCCAGCCGCCAGGTTGTCGATGATGTTCCCGTAGAGGTTTGGCATGACCAGGACATCGAACTGGTAGGGGTTCTGCACCAGCTGCATGGGGGGAAGAGGCTGTGAGCCCTGCTCAGCCGTCCTACCCGACACAGGCAGCCCTCAGGAGGGGGGAAGGTTCATGAGTCTGTACCCAAAAACATCCCCAGATGTGCTCAAGTGGCAGCAGGCAGAGCCCTGCTGAGAAGAGCTGGGTGCCCTGGCATCCAGGCAGTTTTGTAAGCCTCTGCCAGACACAAGCTGCATGTGGCCCTGCCAGCTTCAGTCCCTGCAGCTCCTGCCCTCAGCTGGCACAGAGCAGAGGACCTGCAGCACCCCGTCTGTGCTCCCTCGTGCAGGGAGCTGTCAGCAGCAGCAGCTGTGTCAGCTTTCACACCGGTGGTTTTAATCCCCTCGCTCCGCAGGTGAAGCAGCAGAAGGTAAAGAACGGCTCTTGGGGTAGGGCAGGGAATCAGGATCCTCACCTGCATGCAGCAGTTGTCGATTATCATGGTGTCAAACTTGATCTTGGGGTACAGTTCTGCCACTTCCTCACAGCACTGCAGGAACAGCCCGTCGCCTAATTTCCTGAGACACAGCAAACACAGTGAAAGTCCTGCAGGGCCGCAGCAAAACCATTACAGAAGCAGGTAATCCAACAGCAGCTGGTGTCCCACCACAGCAGGGCACAGCAGCAAGCAGGGCACCTCCACCCAAACCCAAAGCGGTGAAGTCGGGGCCCAGGGGAGCAGAGCCCAGCTCACGGTGTCAGACCCACCCCATGGCACTCACATGATGTTGGCTTTGTGCACGGCCGTGACCTTGGAGCGCCCTTTCTTGGTGGCGAAGTCAAAGGCGAACTTGGCGATGCGCTGCGACTTGGCCCGGGTGATGATCTTCAGGCACTCGATCACTCCCTTGGCGCTCTGGGCACGGGAGGGGGGTGAGGAGCCGGGTACCGTGCAGCCCTGCCCCAACACCTCTGCAACTCGCCCCCCCGCACCGCTGAGCCCCAGTGAGCCCCAGACGAGGAGCCTGGCGCTGGATCTCCTCTCACCAGCAGGTTCCTCAAAGCCGTGGTGCCTTTCTTGGGCACTGTCCCTCCTGCAGCCCATCAAGTCCCTATCCCCACCCCTCCACCCCATCTCCTGCGCCCACCACTGCCCCGTGGCACGTCGCTGCAGCTTCAGCCAGTTCCTCGGTTGTGCTGAACCGCTGTGGGAAGCAGCAAGAAAAGCCACACAGCCTGGGGCAGGCGTCCCCAGCCCTCAGCGATGTCCCCAAGGCAGAGCAGCCACGATCTGGAGGGCAGCTCCCGTACCTCGTGCTCCAGCGAGCTGTACTCCCCCTCCGTCTGCTCACGAATGATCACGAGGTCCAGGTTGTTGTGGCGTGTTTTATAGCCTGGCAAGCTCTTCACGTGGACAACGTTTGCGAACAGGTCTAATTTGCGCCTGCAAGAGAAGCGGCAGCGGGGTCAGCACCTCACCGTGAGCTGTGTGGGGCAGGGAGGGCGCCCTGCAGGTGCCGGGCTGAGAGCTGCTGCCGCTGCCACCACTCCGAGCTCACCTCAGCCTCATGTCGTAGGACGCCAGCTCTCCCTTGTACTCCATGGGGGTGTGGATCTTGCCTGCGGGGACATGGAGCAGGAGTAAGAACAGGGAGCGCGCTGACAGCTGCTAAGGGCACAGCCTGAACCTGGACCCGACAGCAGCAGGGACTGTGGGCTTTCAGCAGAGCCTTGGCCAGGCGCTGACCGGCCTCGTGCTGCGGGAGCCCCGTGAGATCCTTTGTCCAGCCCGTGCCAGATCTCCCTTCAGCAGCAGAAGCTGGACACAACCTCACACACCTCATTTATAAGCTAAGGACACCAGTACGGGCAGTCTGCCTCTTTGTTTAGACCCCACGCTGCCTTCCCCAGGGCTAACCACAGGAATTCCTGCCCTCCAAAAGCCTCTAACGGCGTTTGGGTTAAGGCAACACCTTCAGGCACAGCAGGAGCCCTCGGAGCCGGGCAGCAGCGCTGTCCTTACCTATCAGGGCCACTTTGCTTTCCTTCATGGAGTCCACCACCTCATCCAGCTTCTCCTCCGATGCCATGTTCTGCACCTCGCTCAGGTGGTGCTCGTCGAAGACCACCGGCACGCTGGCGGCCTGCAGCAGGGAGGCAGCACGGGAGCCACGGCCCGCAGGAGGCTCGGCAGGGACGTTTCAAACACCCCACAGAGGGGCAGCGACTGCACGGCCCGGAGCGAGGGGCGTGAAGCCTCAAACCAGCCTCGGGGAGAGGAGGGAAGCGACCACGGGGTTTGGTTCCTGTCACCAAACTTGTCAGGATCCATTTGCAGGATCACTATTTCAGCTGAATCTTTTTAGGGGAAGGGCAAAGGCAAAGCCCTGGGGCTCTCAGAGCCCCTGCAGCTCGGCGCTGCAGCCCAGGGGCAGGCTCTCAGCTGTCTCAGCAGCTGCCCCCCCCAGTCCCTGTCCACCGGGGGCAGCCCTTACCTTGAACACCTCCTTGACCGGCGTGCATCAGCTCCGGGCCCACGCCGTCCCCGGGCAGCATGGTGACCTGGAAGGTGCCGTCCGGCTTGGTGTTCTCTGGCTGCAGGGAGAGCAGAGGGCACTGATAGCTCCTGCCCCCCGGGGCCGTGACCCACCTGCACCCCCTGCCCCCCCATGGCACCCCCCGAAGGGGAGCTGGCACATCCCCGGGTTTTGTGCTAGGACAGAGTCTGAAAGCACTCAGCAGAACCAGCCTCAGGCTAATCCCTGAGCCACCCCACAGGCACCCCAACATCAGCCCTGCTGCCCCCCCTTTCGCTGGATCCTATTTTTACCCGCTCCTTTTACTAATCCTGCCCCTGCAGGCAGCAATTCCCTGCACCGAGCTGAGCCGAGATCTCACAACCAGCCACAGACCGGGTGGTCTCAGGAGGAGACAAGAACTGCACCCGACAGCTTCACCGGGCAACGCAGCACGAACAGAAAAGGTAACTCCCATAAATAGGGATGCAAGTGAGGACAAGCACTGCCTTATGAAGGAGTTTTTTGTCTGGAATATGAGGTTTGGCTCCCCTCATCGGTGTGAAAGGGAACCTTACGTTTCCTCTTCTTCCTCTCAGTCACTCCTGACCTTCCACTACCAGACCCGGGCAAGTCAGGGACGCTGTATTCAGAGCCACAGCCACGCCTGGCAGGCATTTATCCAGTTCCAAACAGCAAGATGTTTAACATGTTAAATGTAAATGTTGTCTGCTCTCCTCCGTGCGGCAGGGGGAGTGCACATGTCAGCGCTACGAGGTGCAGGCAGGCGGTGGGGAGAGGCAAAACGCAACAGCAAGCGTGAAATGAAAACCAAAAGTCTCTGCTTTTGTCTGTTTTGGAGAGCACAAGCCCAGAATCAAGCTGCGGGGCAGAAAACCTCGCCAAGTCAGCGTCGAGAAGGGGCAGAGCACCTTCAGAGCAGATGTTACCCAGTGCTGAACGCTTCCTCTCGGTGTCCTCGCCACAAGCACAGGACTCCTCTGCCCACCGAGGGGCCCGGGCAGGAGCCGTGCTGTCAGCCACGGTGTGACAGAGATGTTACCTCACTGCCTGGCGCTCCCCTTGTTTGCTCCGTCCTTACTCCCACCGAAAGCAGCCCCATCACGGCTCTGCTTTTCAGGCCATGAAGGGTAAACCACGTTTGTATGTGCTAAACTGCTGCTCTTACCTCGCTGGCTGTGGCAGCAGCGCGTTAACGCCTGGTAGTTGGGAGCAGGCTGCAGCCTCTAATACAGCCGCGTCCCCAAACGTAATTAAGCACGGATCCGTATAAGCACGTTCCCCAAGCACAATTCCCCAAACGCAATTAACCCAGCCTGATTAACCAACCACAATTAACCTGTAGCTTCAGTGCTGGCCCTGCAGTCCCAAAGGGTCCGTCCTGTGGGCAGCCCCCTTGGTGTGGGCACAGGGAGCTCCCAAGGTTGCTTGAGAGGCCACATTGTCCCCAAAACACCCCAAATATTGCCAAAACTGACCATGGCTCACCCCAAAACGCCACTGTTCCATCACAGTGACTGTACCCAACCAAAAAGCCTCAGTACAAAGCAGGCACGGGACCAGCCCTGCCCCACCCCACACATTGCCCACACACAGTCTGTGTCAGCAGGGTCCAAACTGTTTTTGGGGCGTATTTGGGGCATTTTCGGGTCGGTTCGGCTCAGTTCAGTTTGTGTGCGGCCACCGGGAGCGATTCACCAGCATTTGGCTTCCTGACAAAGCCAGGCTGACACAAACAGCTCGCTGCTCTGTCTCCAAACCTGCTCAGTTCCTCTCCAGCACATCAGGCCTGGAAACCTTTAAAGTTCAGTTTCCCAAATATTTCGGGCTTTTTGCAGCCACCCGGCCCTGCTGCAGACCGCAGGCGTTCCCCGCTCCCCCCACAGCGGTGGAAAAAACACAGCTGGGGAGCTGGAGGCCGCATTTCCTAGGCTTGGGGATCGAATTTTTGGGTAAATTTCTTGACGTGTGCCTGCGTCTGTTCTGCCACGGACGGTCCTCGCTGGGAAAGTCATTTTTGGGAGGTTATATTGGGAAATTGGTTGTCGGTTAGGAGAGGGGTTGAGCTTTTATGGTGAGACCACCGAGCTCTGCCCCAGTTATCAGTGGTTTTAGGAGCCTCCTAAAGGCTGATGGTGCCCAGCACCTGCTGGGAGGCTGAAACGTCTCGTTGGAAAATAAAAGTTTGGGTCAAAAGCTTTATAAAAAAAATAAAATAATAAAAATAATAAAAATAAATATAATAAAATAAAAATAAAAAATAATAAATAAAAATAATAATAATAAAATAATAATAAAAATAGATAAAAATTAATAAAAAAATAGAAATAAAAATAAAAATAAAAATAATAAAAATAATAAAAATAATAAAAATAATAAAATAATAAAAATAATAAAAATAAAAAAAAAGATGAATGAAATCAGCCTGCGCAGCGCTGCTGTGCTGCTCCTGCGGGTGGTGCTGCCCTGACAGCTGTGAGAAAAAACAGCCAAAAATAAAAAAAAAAATGTCTGGAGTCACAAAGCAGGCAAATTCCTCCAAAAAAGCCAAATTCCTCCTGCCTCCAGCACCCGGAGGCCTCCCCGGCTGCCTGAGGGGGGTTTCCTCTGAGAGGAGGCGCGGTTAAGCCCCAGGAGGGTGTGCGACGAGAGGAAAATGAGCCAAAAAACTGATTTTTGTGCCTGGTTTTGTGGGGTGAGCCTGCAGAGGGGCGGCACCCGGCAGCAATTAGAGAAGCGTGGTCTTAAAAGGCATCATTAAGAGGGAAACCTAATTAAGCTTGGGGAATGTAAACACCCCCCCGACACCAAAATCCACCCAAAAAGCTTCAAAAAGAGCTCACGGGAGCGCTCCAAAAGCCAAAATCGGCAGCAGGAGGGAGCCTGGGGGCTGGGACCTGGTTCCCTACGGGTGCTGCTGCTGCTCCTGGCCTGATTTCTGGGGCAAAAACACCCTGTTTTGGGGCAGATGTGCTTCCTGGGCCTGGCAGCGGGTGCCTGCAGGAGGGAACTGGGAGCACTGGGAGCCACTGGGAGCACTGGGAGGCGCGGTGCCCACCCAACCAGCAGCCCCAGTGCTGGGTCCTGTCCCTGTAGGGCCACCCCTGGCACCGTTAAAATCCCGGGGCCGACGTCTCGGGAATGTCCCAAAAGGGCTTGGAGGGCGGCCACGGGGCCAGGCGCCGGGATTAGCGCCCGCTCAGCAGCTCCCAGCTCAGTGACGCCCAAATTTCCTCGCCGCCATCCCAAACGGCTCGGGTGCCAGCCCAAAAAAAAAGGGAGACCCCAAAACGGCACAAATTCACCCCAAAACACCAACGGGACGGGGAAAAGGGGGGAGAAGCGTGCCCGAACCCAAACCGTCAGCCCCAAATGGGAACCAGGAGGAGGTGGCGGGAAGGGGGAGGGTACGGGGGGGCTACCAGGTGCCACCCCCCCCCATCCCGGTACGGGGCCCCCGGTGTCCCCGCGGCGTCCTAAAATTCCTGGGCTGGGGCGAGCCGTCCCCGTGTCCCCGTGTCCCCGTCCCCGCCGCATTGGGGACATTCCCTGGCCCCCGCCGGGCCCCCGCCGGCCTTCACTGACCTTGGGGGGGCTGCCGGGAGCCCCGGGGACGGGCCCCTCCGTGCCCCCCCATGGGGTCACGGTGACACCGATGGGGTTGTGGGGACACCGGGGGGACACCGGGGGGGACACCGGTACCTGTGGACCCCCCCCTCCACCGGTGCCACCCCGGGGTTATTTTTATCACCCCCAGCCCAGCCATACAAGGAGCCCTCGGACACCCCGGGACCGGGACTGGTGCCCCCGGTGACACCTCGGGGGGGGGCACCTCGCCCCCACCCCACCCCCCCGGGACCCCCACCGGGCACCGGGGGATGATAGCGGGGGCCGGGACAGCACGGGGAAGGGGTCCGGTGCTTTGAGCCCCCCATGGGGGTGACCCCGACCCCCCCTCCCGGTAAGCCCCGTTCCCCGGTGCCCCCCCCGGGATAACACCGGGCACCGGGGGCAGGCACAGCACGGGGCTGGGGGGTCCGGAGCCGGTGCTGTGAGCCCCCCCCGGGGTGAACCCGGTCCTACGGGGGTCCCCAAGCCCCCCTCCCCCGGTAAACCCCATCCCCGGTGCCCCCCGGGTCCCCA